TCGCCATTGCACTATTTCTGGAAATATTGCACATTGGATGCTCATTGACTGCCAAATTCAGTGGTAATTTAAGGGTGGAATGTGCCGTTCGACCGCCTTCCAGTAAAGTTGCAGCAATACCAGATGAAGCGAGTGCCAATACAATTTGGTTTTCAGAGCGGATAGTTGCCATGATTAACGACATCAAAAATGTTTTTCCAGTACCTGTGGGTAGAGTTCTCGTAAGTTTTATATATAGATAGATGTTTTATATTTGTGGATATTGAACACTTTTGATCTCTATCAAACTATTTAATAAATAGATTTACCTGTTATGGGATTGATCTTCTTGATTGAGAAATGGTATCCATCTTCCCCTTGCCAAATTATTAATGGATATTGCAATGCATCATATGATCGATGTGTCTCCTTCACTCGCTGTAGTTGTTCATTTCGCAGATGTAACACAATATCGCGTGACTCCAAATTGTCTCCAACAACAACTACGGCAACTTCATCGATCGTTGGCGCATTATATCTTCTTACGTGTTGTCCTGCTGGAGTTTTATCAGCTCTTATTACTACTCTGAGGTCGTCGGTTGGCATGCGGTCAAGTGCATTTTTAAACATTCTAACCAGTTCATTATTCAGGTGTAAGAAGTTTTGCAATTGCTCCACAATGTCTCTTCTGACCGATGGATTGTTTACACATCGCTGATCTACTTTTTCACCAGAATTTTCAATAAAATATATTTGAAGAAATTTATGTTCTGCATCGGGCTGTGGCAACAATGAACCAACTCTATGATAGATTTGGCCTTGAATCTATAATTTTGAATTATAATTAATCCTTTCTTACCAAGGCTATCATACCATTTTGTCAATTTATTGGTTGTACATTGTAATAGAATTTTTTTAACCAATTTGATCTCACGGGGCTTAGGGTGAAATTGAATAGAACTTTGTATGTAAATTTTTTTTAAGTACTTGATTATTATTATTTTTTTTTAGTTCGGTATCTCCGAATTCCAGAGCTCAGTTTCATTTAATTATTTTGTTGCTTTGGGAAAAAAAATTCTAAAGTTATTTTTTTGTAAAATAATTTTGATCGAATCGGTTAAATGTACTGTTTTAATTATTGAGTTTTTATTTTTTTAATTCACCTTGAATGTCGGCAGGAAATAATCCCTCACAATATTTGTTGCTCCAAATGATGTCATCTGGAAATAATTGTTGTACAACGTAATATTTTTTAAGGAAATGCTTCGATTCAGTATCTGCTCCAGATAACAATTTGTGCAATGGCTCTGGAGGTGGATTCAGGACTGGCAATTTAATTTTTCCACTTGCGCAACACAATCCATTTGTTTCCTTTGGAAATTTCAGAGCTTTGCAGAATTGGCAAACCACCGTCATAGATCCTATGTCCACTGATGAAACAGCAGAGTAATCTTTCGTTGGATTGTAACGAAATGCCATGCGATCTAGAGCATTCGAAGAGATTGGTCTGCCCTCTTGGTTGTTCAAATGATTTTGATTTCTAATATTTGCTGAGCTGTTTATTTCTGCCTGAACTTGTTCAACCTCATTTTGCGATGCGATAATGATTGATATTTCTTGTGAAACATGTCGGTTTGTACGAATAATTCTTTGATTTCGGGTATTACGGGTATGACGACCTATGTTTATTTTTACCTTTGGCATTGCTCTCTGTTGAATAATGGAATGTAATTCTGAAGCATATAATGTATATTTAGTTCATTCTTAGGTCTTTTTCTTTGTTGGGGAAATTTACTGCATTTTTCCGCATAAAAACACGTCATGAAGTATACAAACCCATGAGCCCCTCATTGCTGAATTTTAACTCAAAGACAAACTAACCTTTTGTAGAAGTTGATGATGGGTAGCAGTGGAAGTTTTTTTTTTTTTTTTCCTTCGGTTTGTTTTTTCCGTCGATCTTGTTTTCCGTGCTGAGCACCAATGCTACCGACGTGCCAGGAAGGCAGCTCCCACACCTGGACCCTACCTATCGACCCAACAACTCATGAACCGGGGACCAACGGCTTTACTTCCCATCCGAAGGAAGGCGTGATCAGAGATGTTATGCCTCAGAATATCCCGGCGGCGCCGGCTGGGATTGAACCCAGGCCTGCTGGGGTGAGAGGTAATCACGCTTACCACTACACCACCGGCGCCGTTAGCAGTGGAAGTTGACGGCGATGGTATTTGATGCTGAATGGCTGTGATGATGGCGATCGGAACCTGGTATCTGGATGGCTGTTGTTGGAAGTGGCTTTCGGCGAAGGTTTCCGGTGACTGGTGACAATTAATCGGTTTGATTACGCTATCCTCGACAGTTTTTTCACTTTCTTCGTTATGGAAGTTATTTGCTGGTTATTTACCGTTATAGGGCTGCATTGAAATGTCTCAAAATCAATGTCTCTCTCTTAATAGGGGAATTTACGTATTCTCGTCAATCTAAGCAGCGTCCGAACTTCTATTAGCGATTTCTCAGCGTCACACACATACATGACAGGTTTGTTTGTTGACATTTATCTGCTGCTTGCTGTTCTACCAATTCCAATCGACAGAATTGATCAAAACGGGTTGAACATGTTTTTACAACGATCCAAACTTCTCAGGTGAGTGTGACTATTATCGGCAGTCTCTTTTTCTTCGGCACCCTTTCCATTTGAACTGCGTGTTAACCAGCTGTTCTATTATCGGCAACTCGAAATCAGCCGTATTTTGTAGTGTGTATGTTTAATTTAAAGAAAAATATGGCATAACAGGATTGCACAGTCGTAAAAATGTAATCAGATTGAAGCTGGAAAGGTAAGGAATCGGCTTAATACATTCAGCGAAGAGTTTTGATGGGAAAATACAGTGAAATTAACGTTTCAATTTCGGTTGCCGAAAATAGTCAATGGGTGCCGAAGCCATAATTTACCCTATGTTTATTGTTTCTAAGTTATACTCACCTTTTGAAATCGATGATGAGAAGCTGCACTGGCTATTAAGGTAGGTATTGGACTACGGAAGTTGGTGGGTTTTATGCCGGTGGCAACGGCAACCGTCGATGGTTGCCGGCGATAGATTACAACTTGATTTGAAAAATGCGTGATGGCGGTAATATGCGGAACGGACGTTCGAGATTGGAAGCGGGATGGCAATTGGTTTTTTTCTGATAACAGTTGTGAATGGTTTAGGTTTTATTTGTTGCACAACGGATGACTGATTGCTGCATCGCCTTCTAGATTGTTTCGCATTCATCCCTGCAAGCTCCCTTCTGGTTTCTCGTAAATTCGGGTTTTCACGGTTTTTCGAATGTTCCAGTGCCTTTTTCATTGCATTTGGTATCATACAAACACAGCGGAGGTCAAGACGAACAAATCCATGTAAAAATGCATCTAATCCGTTCACCCGTTCTTGAGTTTTGGAGTGACAAAGGAAACGCAAACTCATTTTTATATATATAGATATGCGACAGTTAGAAGATACTGAGAGGTTAGCACATATCATCGGCAAGAGACGTGCGTGTGAGAAAATTTGCGAAAAAATCTAAGGGCACCGGTGGGATTCGAACCCACAATTCCCATTCAGTACACGGGTGCATTGCCAATTATACAACGGTGGACCTATGGTCTACGGATGTATTTGGCTAATGACATATGAGTTTCGAATCCGTTCCCCTCCCTTAGTCTTTTTGCGCAAGCGTTCTCAATACACAACAATCGTCTATTACCGACGATATGTGCTTGTACTGCAACCACTCAGTATTATTGTTACTTACAAAAACAAGGTATAATCATATCTTTTTTTTCTTGATTTGTTTTCCGTCGATCTTGTTTTCCGTATTGAGCACCAATTCCACCGACGACAGGTAAGCAGCTCCTACACCTAGATCCTACCTATCGACCCATCAACCCATGGGGACCAGGGACCAACGCGGCTTTACTTCCCTTTACTTCCCCCGTGATCAGAGGTGTTATGCCTCAGAACATCCCTATGGCGCCGACTGGGATTGAACCCAGGCCTGCTGGGGTGAGAGGTAATCACGCGTACCACTAAACCACCGGCGCCGCTATCATTATATCTTATCATTCCATAATTTCATAATACATTTTTTTAGCCAAAATGAGTGGAAGGCACCTTGGTCATAGCCATAATATGGAATCTAACGTATTGAAGAGGGTCATTTTTAGCATGTACGAAAACTTTTCGTTCCAGAAAACAACGAAATAATTCGTGAAACAAACAAACGCTTTCGTTGTATAAACTAAATTTTATTTTCAGTGCAGGTGTGGGAGCTGCCTCCCAGGCGTCGGTAACATTGGTGCGGAAAACAAGATCGACGGAAAACAAATCAAGGAGAAAAAACAATGTTCCATCCAAAATGTGAAGCACAAATCAATACATCACCGAAATCCTGTTCTCGGGATGATATTTTAAATTTAAATTTATAGGCTGTTTTGAGATGGGTTGAGCTTATACAGGTAATAGCAGTTATTTATCTTTCGTAGTAAAATGGTAAAAATAATTGACTGACGTGCGATGAATTGATACAGGTCCAATGTTGTGTCATATATTCCCATAGCAATTTAAAGAATGTGCGAATTCCGACGCAACCTTCATCGGTCCCTTTTAAAGGCATACTCTCTCGGTGAAACTCCACGAATTCACGATTCTACGTAAAAGCTTTTTTTTTCCGGCACGTGGGAATCATGCGCTAAAAACAAGGATCGCCAGAGGAAAAAAGTATGCGATTGGCATGGCTGGTTTGTCGGTTGGTTGGTAACCGAGTGAAGATATTAGGGTGTCGCGCCAATTCGTCGTATTCCATCTACTTTGCTTCGTCATGCCCCTATAGAATCAGCCGTTCCACATTCCAGCGCGTTTGTTTTTTGGTTCGCCAATCGTAATTTTATTACGGCAACCGCCGGAAATGTGCTCCAAACGACGAAGTAGTGCGGATCCCTACAGACGAACGGACGAACGAGGATGGCGGATAAAATGCTTACCTATATTACCTCCCAGCTGTGCGGTGGACGTCGTCACGCTGCTGGCATTAGCAAAGGTTCGCCCATGAGTGCGGCTAATGAATTTTGCACCAGATGGCTTGATGCCGAGCCCGGTCGAATCGTCTTGGTGCTTTCCGCCTCCCCGGAACACAAGGTAGACCTGCAACAAGAGAACAGTACAAGATGGGAAGCATATGAGAGACAAGAAAAACTATAGCATGTGAGACTTAAAAACGCGCAACATGTTGTACAATATGTACAGTCAGGAATCCTGCAGCACGGATGTACTCTACGGTTGGTTGGTTGTTTTTGTTTAGGAGACTTTCAGCCGGAGGCTCGTTTTACTCTACGGTTTTAGTTGCGCGGTTGCTAGCAAGTTTACTCTTTGTTGGAAAGTTTTATAAATCAGTTAGGGATCATCAGCTTTTGTTAAAAAAAAACTTTGTAAGCCCTTTCCTCGCAAATCGCTCTTGCAAACCAACAGAATCGTGTAGGAGAACGTTTCCCTAGGCTCTTTTCAATTGTTGGTCAAACATTTTCAAAGTTTGAAAAATAGTGCTATCTGATTTACGGATATGACTATTCACAGGGACCAAAACGGCTGTGATGCTGGTGAAGAACCTAGTGACTCCGACTCCGACTTCGAACCAATAGATTTAAGGAAAACGTTTGATTATTTCCAAGAATAGGTATATGCTTACGAGAATAAAACAAATGATTAATATTAGTTATTTGACTCCAACTATAAAGAGAGTGTAAAACGTGGCAGCGGGGTAACACAGCGCCCGTCCATCCAGATTTTGTGCAACACCATTCAGAACTTCATAAAACATAGTTGTTTTTGTTTGATCTCAACTGAGATAAACGGCAGTAGAACTTATAATGTTTGCGTTTCATGAGGGTAAACTAAGGATCTTTTAAGAAGTAATTGCTGGCTCTACATTGAAAAGATATAAGATTCTTTTTTATTGGCCCCGGATCCGGTTAATTTTTTAATCGGATGACGGATCGGCCTTATATTTGGTCGCAGATCTACCTCCGGCGATGAATAGCATTTCCTTATTAGAGAGTTGTATAGATTTTTCTCCTTTAGCTTACTTAAATCTTTGGTTTTTATTAGTTAGGTTGGTTCCGATTCAACACATTGTAGTTTCATTTTTATACCTATGATCTTAACTTTTTTACCTAGGGGATAAGTACTTAAGGGGGTTAGATTTTGATAAGTTCTTTAGTGGGAATGACACTGATGAAGACTGCACATTGTAGTCGAAATACGTATCTGTCATGGATACCAAAATTAATTAAGTGGAATTAAATGGAAGATAACCTTTTTTGCTGTTTGGCACAAACCATTTGAAATTTGGAAACTGCTACGGAAAAACCATAATTTCGGTTCATACATATCGATCTCAAAATTCACCAGTTCACTCTACTTTAGAAACTGATAGCTGAGCTTGTTGAAAAATCAGCTATAACTTTGTTAAAGACCACTTTTCGATCAAATTATTATTGTTTCAAGTCACTTGTTGTGGTTAATGCAGTCACCGGGCGGTCCCTTGTTTCAGCGTGAGAGTATTCGTGAACGAGAAGAATATATAGGATAAATGTCAGTCGAATTGTCAGACGATACAAATGTCAAATGTAGAATTGCTTTGTCATTATCTGGTGAATCGAGTGCAACATTATATATTATTACGTAAATATTATACTACAGTAAATTAGTACCTTTTATTTGATTTATATTCTTGTTTCTAGACTGGATAAGAGAAAATTGAATTCTTTATTTGTTACATTCATTGGTACATTGTGTAAGGAGACTAAATGTAAGAAAACATGAATTTATATTGTCGCTATCCTAACCTTAAATAAATTTACAGCTTTGAGCTATCTTGATCGGGAACACAGACGAGTTGCTTTGAAGACCTCCGAAATAATTTCAACATAATCTCAAAGATTTATAGAGTACCGAGAATGGAGAAATCGTTTGTTCGTCAGACTCGTTCCAAGACCAAGGCTGCCAAACAGTCTAATCTCTTCGGTGAAGAACATCTTAGTACTTCTGAACACGATCTGGACCTGATAGAGGATGGATTTATGCCTTCGATGATCGATTTGGAGCACGGACAGGATCTCGATTGTGCTGTATGTGATCAACCCAACAATGCAGAATTGTATATGGTCCAATGCGGAGGATGCAAGCGTTGGAACCATTTTTCGTGCGCGAGGGTGGATACGAATACTGTCCATTCGAAGGAGTTTTGCTGTGCGGAGTGTTCGTCGAAGAGAGTACCAGAGCGATCAGCTAGGTCGGGATCTGGTCGATCGAGTGCTACAAGCGGTCGTAGGTCCCACATTGACCGTGAAATCCAACGTCTGGAGGACGAGAGGCGAGCTGAAGAGCAGGTAGAACAGGAGCGGATACAGCAGGAGAAGTTGCTGATTGAGAAAGCCGCTAAGGAGAAACTGGAGCGGGAAAAGCAGTTCATAGCTAGAAAGCACGAGTTGCTCCGCCAGCAGGACGATGACATTGAGAGCTTTGTGAGTCGTCGTAGTAGCAGTAGTAGTATACTAAAGGTGGAGAAATGGGTTGAGCAGCATATTTCCCGCACCGGCGCCGTCGGTGCTAGTGAGAAAGAAAACATTCCAGAGTCGGTCGAACCACAAGAGTCTATCCCTGTTGGTTCGTCTACTCCGTTGGGTGGTAGCGCAATCACTGCTGGAAATCAGCAACCAGCTGCTGACGAGCAACGGGCATCTGTACCACGTACGATCGAGAGCATCACTATTGGTGACAGTCCGGAGGAAGATTTCCCCAAGTTGCATTTGGTAAACATTCAACCATACACGCGGCTTTTGGAGGAGTCAGGACCAAACTTTCCAAGTATTGAACTGACCTTGAAGCGACCGAATACCGGTGCGAACCCGAAGATCATCGGAAAGTTAACGAACCCTATCTCTCGCCCTACCCCCTTTGAAAAATGGACGCGTGAGACAAATGAACTTCAAAAGCGTGGCAAAGCGGAACTGCAGCAAGCATACGACGAGAAGAAGGAATTAGAGAATCGATTACACGAAATTGAATCGAACTTGAAACGGCAACGTCACATGGAACTAGAACACCAGCAGGAGAACGAATTGAGGCGAAGGGGAGAAATAGAACTTGTAAACCGACTGAATCGACTGGAGGAGCAGCGTGCAGGAGAGCGGCAACAGCTACAGGAAGTGGAAAACGCATTGAAAAGACAACTAGAGGATAGTCAGCAACGATATCAGGCACTGGAAACCAAACGGCGGCAAGAACATGCTGCGCGAGAAGAAGAGCTACGGCGACTTAAAGAACGAGAGCAGCAGCTTGCTCAGCAACGATATCAGGCACTGGAAACCAAACGGCGGCAAGAACATGCTGCGCGAGAAGAAGAGCTACGGCGACTTAAAGAACGAGAGCAGCAGCTTGCTCAGCAACTGGAATCGGTTCTTCTACGAGAGAAAATCGGACATCCATCACATGCAGCATTACCGGAGTCCACGGGAAGTGGTACATCTCTGGCGTCCATGGTGAGTGATTCTCGATTTCATAGTTTCGAAGCAGATTCTGTAGCGTATGCGGATAGAAAGACACCTTGTCCTAGTGTCATTAGTACGGTGGGTAGAGCAGGAACACCTTGCACTTTTACCATAAATCGAGAGATAGGGCCGACAAATGTAACGCAGTTTAATCAATACCACCCTCCAGGGTTAGACAATTTCGGTAGGACTAATTTCTTGAATGCCCAATACGGACCTACGCGTCAACAGCTAGCAGCTAGACAGGTGATCCCAAAGGAACTCCCCACGTTTTCTGGGGATCCTACTGAATGGCCTCTCTTTGTAAGTAGTTACCAGCATTCAACAGATGCATGTGGCTATTCAGACTCGGAAAATTTGCTGCGTCTACAACGTTCGTTGAAAGGAATCGCAAAGGAGTCGGTGAGCAGCTTTCTGCTACACCCATCGACAGTACCTCAAATTATGTCAACTCTACAGACCTTGTATGGGAGGCCCGAGCAAATCGTGCATCACATGGTGACCAAAGTTCGTGCCACTCCCGCACCAAGAGCGGACAAGCTGGAAACTCTAATCCAGTTTGGTCTAGTTGTCCAAAATCTGTGTGGACATCTACAAGCGATTGGAATGGAAAATCACCTTTCCAACCCCATTCTACTACAAGAGCTCGTCGATAAACTTCCAGCCAACATCAAATTCAGCTGGGCACTGTACCAGGAGCAACAGCCGATTGTCAACTTGAGGACGTTTGGCGAATATATGGGAAGAGTCACGACCACTACTAGTGGAATAACTAATGTTTGTCCGATTTCAAAGCATCAGAAAGATGAAAAACCTAAGGCGAAGGAAAAAGCATATAAGAACACACATACTACGTACGAAAAGAAGAAGCAAGGATCATCTGCCAGTCTTCCTAAAGGTGATCAACGGGTAGAGTCATCGAACATAAAGCGCAACGAAAGCGATACAAAAAAGGAATGTCCGTTGTGCAAATCGCATGACCACATCGCAGAGAAGTGCGTCGAGTTCAAGAAGCTCTCAGTGAACGAACGCTGGAAAGTGGTGAAGGAAAAGATCGGCTACTTCATTACGACCCTAAGCCGGAACAGCCTTTGACTACTACGAATGCCACTGTCACTGTCCACCGACAACCAGTTACGTCGACCTTATTCAAAATACTACCGGTCACGTTGTACGGCAAGACAGGCACTATCGACACTTACGCATTTCTTGACGATGGATCATCTACAACTCTCCTAGAGCAATCAATAGCTGACGAACTTGGGGTCGATGGCAAGGTGCAATCCTTGTGCATGCAGTGGACCAGCGGAATCAACAAGAAAGTGGCTACAACTCAAATCGTTAAGCTAGGTATTTCGGAACCTGGGAGTAGAAAGGTGTATCAGTTATCAGAAGTCTACACAGTTGAGAACTTGGGGCTTCCGGAACAATCGATTGATGTAGATGAGTTAGCTAAACAGTACAAGCACCTACAACGTTTACCGGTGAAGAGTTTCCAGAGGGCTACGCCAGGACTGCTGATTGGAGTAAATAATATTCATCTACTAAATACTGCCAAAATACGTGAAGGGAAGGAGCAAGAGCCTATTGCTGCAA